GAGGATGCTGCTGGCTTGGCCTTCAAACCAAATCTCTTCCACTCACAAATGAGGAATTTCACCCTAAGAATTCTCTCCCGCTGTTGGAATGGGTGGCAGACTCAGACAACCTCTCTGATTTAATACATGGCAGAATAAGAGCAGTGCTGCCCACCTCCTCCCTGCCCACCCCTCCAGACTGGCTGTTTTGTTTCCCCACCCTCCCCACCAGCTTCAGAGCAAGCAGCAATTTCTGCCGAGAACAGATTCTGCTAATTACAGCCCTGTGCCCTGCAATGAGCTGCAGGTGGCCCAGTGCTGATGGGGCACTGTGAGGGCCGTGCTCAGTGGCTCTGGGTGCAGCTGCAAAAGTTCCACTTACATCACCCACCTTGGCAAAAATAATGGAATTCTTCAAAAATCACTTTGTTCCTGCTTTTAATATTTAAGAGAACCACTCATGTGATGCACAGAAACACAGAATGGCCGGGGTTGGAAGGGACCCCAAGGGTCGTGAACCTCCAACCCCCTGCAGGGCCACCAACCTCCCCATTTCACAGCAGCCCAGGCTGCCCAGGGCCCCATCCAACCCGGCCTTGAACACCTCCAGGGATGGACGGGGCATCACAGCCTCTCTGGGCAGCTGTTCCAGCCCCTCACCGCTCTCACAGCACAGAACTTCCCCTGACATCCAACCTCCATCTGCCCTCCCTCAATTCAAACCATTTCCCCTCGTCCTGCTGCCATCTCCCCTTTCAAAGAGTTGATTCCCCTCCTGTTTGCAGGCTCCCTTTAGGCACTGCAGGCTGCACTGAGGTCACCCCCAGCCTTCTTTTCTCCATGCTGAACGAGCCCAGCTCCCTCAGCCTGTCTTTGTAGGGAGGTGCCGCAGCCCCTGCTCATCTCCGTGGCTCCTCCAGACCCTCTCCAACAGCTCCCTGTCTTTCTTGTGCTGGGGGCTCCAGCCCTGTGCACAGTGCTGCAGATGGGGCCTCACAAGAGCAGAGCAGAGGGGGACGATCACCTCCCTGCCCCTGCTGCCACCCCTCTGCTGATGGAGCCCAGGTTTTACGACTGCAGATTCAGGTTCTATGCGTTTCAACTGAACCGAAGAAAAGAGCAGTGAGATGCAGGTTGCCCAGGGAGGTTGTGGATGCTCCCACCCTGGAGGCACTCAATGGTGGAGGAGTCGCCGTCCCTGGTAGTGTTCAAGAGGCGCCTGGATGAGGAGCTACGAGATATGGCTTAGTGCTTGTGGTACTGATAGGAATGGGAGGGTGGTTGGACTGGATGATCTTGCAGGTCGTTTCCAACCTTGTGATTCTGTAATGCCAGGCTGGATGCGGCTGCGAGCAGCCTGGTTGAGCAGAAGGCACCTCTGCCTATTGCAGAGGGTCAGAACTAGGTGATCTACCAACCCAAACCATTCAGTGATTCTATGAGATGGATGGGTTTGCTTTGGTGAAGGAAGCAAAGGGACGAACCCTTACGGTGAGCAGCCTGCAGCCATGGGGTGACCGCTGTGACTCAGCCCACGTTTCTCACCACAACCCAGCGCCAAACCCACACACACGCCGGGAAAGCCACGAGAACACCCGATGGAAGACAACAGCTTAATTAGGGGCTGACAGAGCTTTTTGCTGCAACACGTGTGGGTGAGAAGAGACGAAATGACAGAAACGCTGCTTCGATCGCTTTTAGCTTTTCCATTTCCCAGAAAAGTTCTGAGCTGAACTCGGCTGCTGGCAGCACTGCAGCACACGAGCGAGTGCCAGGCTGCTGGGGAACGCAGCACTGCTGAGAGCTACCTAAAGAAGGCACAACCACAACATCACTGTACCGTTGGCTCGCCCTGGGCTGCTCAGAGGCTCCGAGCGCAGGGCTCACCTCACACAGCCTGATTTCCTCAGAGAGTGAATCCCCAGAGAGGAGCTGGAGAGCCTAGGAGAGCCCCACAGTGCTTCTCCTTCCAGCACAACATGAGCTGGCAGAGCAGCACTGGGCACCGTGCTGAGAAATCCAGCGCTGAAGAGCTCAGGACAAAACTCACCCACGGGATTTTCACATGACCCTCCTTCCCCCCTGCACTTCTGCAGTTTAATCCCGTCAGGAAATCGGCCTTGGTGTACCTCTCCACCACAAACACGACTGTCACAAACCAACCCTTCCCACTGGGAGAACACCGTGCAGGAACACCATGCAGGGGAACCGCCCTGCACTGGGAACGTGCTTGGCAGTCCAAAGAGCCAGCTGGGCACAGCAAAGCACAACAAGGGCAGAAGCAGCGTGCAACGAGAGCAGCTCCCTCGGTCAGGATGCTGCCCAGCCCTAATTCAGCACTCAGCTGCCTGCATCTGAACGATGGATGTGCTGGGAAAGAAAGCAAAATTCCTGCTCCTGCTCTTCAGGCTTCAATCACCTTATAAGGGAAAATCATATTTATTTACTAAGGCTGTGCATCCCTGCAGCCCTCAATGGCTGTGTCAGTGGCTCGCTTCCACCATCGCTCGCAGTCACACGCTCTGCACACCAACCCCTCGTGGGCTGCTCCCCATGGGGCTGTTCAATCCCCCACAGCCCCAACCTCCACGGCCAAGAAGCAGCAAACTGCCACCAGACCCATCACTGCACGCCCTGCTGTCCCAGCCTCCCTCCCTGGTTCCGGCCCATCCACGCCTCAAAGGAGGAGAATTCTGGAGCAGCCTCAATTCCATTCACGCTGCCTCGCTCCTTCCCTGCAGCTGAGCTGTGACTTATTGACTGTGAAGGAGCTGCAGGGTCTTTCTGAGTTCAGGGCATGGGGTGTTTTTGCCTAGCTGGCTCCCTCTGCCATCATCTTATAGCACCATTTCACAGGAAAGAGGCACGTGACATCCAACTGAGCTGTGAACCACAATCATGCTGAGGACGATGTTTACATCTGATTTTTCCTCAAGCTGATAAGCTCTCTCCAATTTCCCTCTCCATCACGTTGGTACAGATTGAGCAGCTCATGCCCCACGGGTTGGAATTCTTCTCTTATCTCTCATCTGCTCACTGGAAAAAAAAAAAAAAAAAAAAAAAAAAAGGCTTTCAGCAACCCTTCAGTTATCACTGCAGAGGGAAGGGCTGCGGAGCTCCGTCTGTGGCATCCAACACTGCCCCAATGCCTCTGGGGCTTCGGCTGTGCCCAGCACACGCAGAGACCTCCACGCACCACTGCAGCTCCTGAAGCAGAGGGATTCAGCCCCAAAGAACATTCTGTCCCTGCTGCAAGCTGTAAGCGACACACAGGCTGCGACCCATGCAACAGGAGCCACGAGAAATGGAAACAGATTGAAACCAACTCTCAGCCCAATGGGGAATCAGGATTTCCAGACTCCACCTTTACAAGGAGAGGGAGGAGAGAGCTCTGTCTCTTCTGCTCTCGCAGTTCCTACTGTGAGCTGCCAGCAATGCGACCCCCGGCTCAGACGCAGCCCGAGGGCAATGCTCTTCTCTCCCAGCTCCTGAGGACACCCCAGACCAAAAGCCTTCGGTGCCCACTGCACTCAGAGTTCCTCAGAACCCCCCTGCAGCTCTGAGCCCTGCACCAACACTGGTGAACAACCCCCCATGCTGCCTGCAGCTCCCTCTGAGTACCAGAGGCAGAGGGGCCAGGAAGGAGCCATTCACACACATCAGCTTTTCCAAACTCCATTTGCAGCCACGGCGATTACAAAACGTTCAAAACCTCAAGGCCTTGTTTTCACAAAGACATGGATTAGCCCTGTTTGCTCATGAGCATGCCTGGCTGGCAACACTACGCTGCTTTCCTCCTTCAAAACACACCCTGAGGGTTCCAGAGCTCCAGAAGGGGCCCCGAGCTCAGTCCCGTGGGGTCTCACTGAGCGGCAGCCTCACTCTCTCCACCCTTCCACATCCTGTGGGGGTCTCACTCCAATGGGGGTCCAAACGGCAACAGTGCAGGGCACGTAAGGTGGAGATGCTGTGACTGGGAGTCACTGAAACAGGATGAGGTGAGCATGAGAGCCCCGTGCACAGTTCCATCTGCTGCAGCCAGCAGAGCTGATCATGATGCTGCTGCCATGCCACCAGGCCTGAGGGTTTGGCTCCTTCCAGAAAACACTCAGGGCTGCTTTACTGCTGCCTGCAGCCTTGGGAGCTCCGAGCGACACAGCTTGGGATCTGCTTAAGTGAGCAGCATGCAGCTTGATTCAAAGAAACGACATAAACACTGAAGCATCGGTGTCGTTACCAGCTCCACTTCATCTCTGCTACCAGTGTAAGGTAAGAGCCCATAGGCTTGGGAAATGCAGGTTCACTTGTGATGGGCAGAAAAGCACCCAGCGCTGAGCTCCGGTCTCCATAGACACCTGGTTTTGGACTGAGCACCAAACAACCGCATAGAAACACAGAGAGGGGGGGATGTACATCACAACAACGTGCCAGGGCCGAGCACAGGGACGCAGGTGCCTTCCCTGCCACGCTCCCCAGCAGCACAGCTGAGGGCTGTCAGCCCCACAAATCCTGCAGCAGAGCCCGAGGGCTGCGCAGGCAGCTGGGGGCTGCCCCACATCCACGCGATGACGTCCCTGAAATAAGCACGGACCCGCTGCCAGGTTTTGGTGTGAGCGCTGCAAGGCACGGGGTGGCCGACAGACCGCAACCGGCATCTCTCAGAGCCGCGGAGGAACTCCGGGAGCGGACAGCCCCCGGCCCCGCACATCCAAAGCCGGTTTTGAGACCACGAACGAACCACAGAGCGGCAGAAAGGTGCAACTCCGGACGGCGCGGGCTGCCCTGTGCCCCCCCAGCACGGAGCCCCAGAACCACGGGCTCCGTCCGCGTGTGCGGGTACGGAGCCCCCACCCACGTCCCCCATAGGGCGGAACCATTCGGGCTGGAGGGGAGGAGGGGGCAGCTGGAGCGGCCCACGCCGAACCCCGAGGGTGGCGCTGAGAGGAACCACGAGACGGAACTGGGGGGGGAGGAGGGGACACAGCCCGGAGGGGCTCCGCGGGGGGACGTTACCACGTTACCTCCCGCCGCGTCCGGTTCCCCTGCGCCGGCCTCCGGGGTGATGGCGCCGGCCCCCGCCACGGCCGAGCCCTCCGCCTCCTCGGGCACCTCCAGCTCCATGGCGGCCGCCGCCAAGGGCGCGGGCAGGGCACGGCAGGCCGCCGCCGCCGCCGAGCTCCTCCCGGCTCCGGCAGCCGCCGCTGAGCAGCCTGGGAACGGTGGGGACCATAGAGCGCGGGAGGCGCCGCGGCCAGACACGCCCCGGCGGCTCAGGCCGGAAGTGGGCCGCGGCTACAGCCGGAAGTGGGGTTGTCCCCTTCCGTCAGAACTAATCGCGACGCGGAATCTGAGTGTCGCGATAGTCCTCGGAACCGGGACCGAGATCGGGACCGGGATTGGGACCGGAGTGGGATGGGAGGAGCGGGGACGGGAATGGGGCCCAGCGTACCATAGAGCGGCGGAGACAGAGAGGCGCCAGCTGTGCCGGCGCGCAGAGGGCGGGACCTAAGCGTCGCTATGGCAGCGGGGCCGGGCCGTTGCCATGGCAGCGGGGCCTACTGCTGCCCCGCGGTTGGATTCCCCCTTGCCGGGCCCGGTGCATCGGAGCCGCGCTGAGACCGCCGGGGTCGCTCCGTGCCGTGGAGCCGCTCCCCCTCTCGGTTCCAAAGCCCCGCTCGGCCCCACCGCATCCTGTGGCCCCAGGCCGAGCCCCGCGCCCTCCGGCCGTCGGCGCCACCTAGCGGCAGCTGGGCCCTGCGAGAGGCTGCGGTGGGCAGCCCCCGGCCCGTGACGTCTCGCCCTGAACACGGCGTGGCTCAGGGGACGGCCGTGGCTTCCCCGGGCTGTGAAACCCGCCCGGCAATGGGCCGCATTCCCCGCCAGCCCTAATGATGCTGCTCGGCCGCCCCGCCGTGCCCCCGAGGGGCCTGGGCCGCGTCCCTGCGAGGGAGGGGACCGGGAGGGGACCGTCCGAGCCGCCCCGTCCTCCTGCGAGACGAGCGGCGAGCGGCGGCACTCGGACGGGGACGTCGCCATGTCCCCAACCCCGGGGTGGCCGCTGGTGGCGGGGGGATTCCGGAGGAATTGGTCCCCCCGCGATGCCCTGGCACGGGGCCTCGGCCCGCCGCAGCCCCACGGGAACCAAACGCAGGCTGCTGGAGCCGGGAGCCGCTGCGTGGAGCTGATCTCTGTGGCTGGAATCACACCCGGCGGCAGGAGGAAGGGCACCGGGCCCGTAGCGAGGTGGGGGCCAGGCAGAAGGGATGGGGAGGAAGGCAGGTGGCAGCCGCCGCTGGGTGGAAGGGGGGTCACATTTTCTCCAATGTGGCCCCCCAGCATTGGTGCCGTGGGTGAGCTGGCAGCTGGCAGCGTCCCTGCGCCCTTTGGGGCCTGAGGCACCCATGGGTGCTCTAGGCAGCACAGGTGGCACAGAACCCCGTGCAGTACCCCATCCTCAGGCACTGCCACCCCATGTCCCCAGGTGCCCTGTCTCTACCTGAGGCTGAGAATGGGAGCAGATGTGGCTGAGCCACTAGCCTGGGGGAGTAGCAGACAGCCCCCCCCGGGATTTCCACTGTGCTGCTGGAGCTGCCCAGGGACCCTCAGCTCCTGTTGTCTCCCTCCCGCAGGCAGCGTCTGGCCCACAAAGGGTTACGCAAGGCAGCACCCAGGAATGTCACCGCTGCCACCAGCCCTGGCTCTCAGTTCCTTCCTGGTCACATTCAGCCGCGGGGGACGAGCCACAACACGGTGAGTGCTGGGGACCTGGGACACAGCTATGGGCTGCCTGTGCCCAGCAGCCCCAGGAGGGGGTCTGAGGACCCTCCTGGAGCTCTGCCCCAACCATGGGGATAGATTGGGAAGAGAAGCCCCAGGGCACTTTGGATGTTGGCGGGGAGACCTGGGCAGGGTGTGCCCTCCTTGGGGTGCTGTGGCTACAAGCTGTGTGGGCTTGAGGATGCAGAGCTGGAACCCTGTCATTGTGGCTCCACACCCCAGCCTGGAGGCCATGCCTCCATTCCACCTTTGTACACCCAGCTGGGGCAGCTCCCAGCACCAGGGCAGGATCAGGATGAGCTCTGGGATGCAGCTGGGGCTCGGTCGGGTGCTGGGGGGCTGCTGTTGGGGCTGGAACCTCAGCGATGCCTTCCTGCATGGCTGATGCTAGACAAGGGACGGGTGGCTTGGCAGAACTGGGTGGGCTGCGGGGGGCATCTCAATGTGAATGGGGCACGTTGGGGCTCCTGATGCATTGGGCTGGACCATGGTGTGCTCAGCCCAGATACCGCCTTCCCCGGTGGGGCCACTTTGGGTGCGGGTTGGTTTCTGTCAGGAACCGGCTGAGCCGGCTTCTCTGGCTGCCAGTCTCGGCCTTTAGCTCGAGGCAGGGCCCCCGGGGAGGCTGAGGGCAGAATGGGGGCTTGGTGTCCCTACGGGCAATTCCCGGAGAGAGGGAACTGCCTGTTGTCTCACTGTCCCTTCACCCCCACAAGGGCAGAGAGCTGCAGGATGCAAACGTGAGGTCAGTTTACCACGTCCTAGTGATGGGTAGGAGATACAGTTTGGGGTCCACTGAAGCTGTGGCTCCCTGTGGGTGGTGCTGGGGCTGGTTTCGATGACCGGTGATGTTGGGTGTTGTGGGCCGGCCTCCTGGACTTTGCCCTGTGCTCTCAGCCTGGCTTATTCCCAGGATCAGGTGAATGATTGCGTCACTCTGCTTGTTACTCTGTGCTGGCATTTTGGGGCTCTTTTGGTGTGTCTGGGGCTGCATGCTTGCCCTGAGCTCTGCCCTCTTTGGAGCTGTGTCCACACTCACTGTGACCCCAGGGACAGGTATTTCCCATGGGCATCAGCATTCATTTTGGGTGCCTGTGGACCCACTGGTGCTGTGCTGCGGTTCTCATGTGGGGCCGTGGGGTTTCCAGCCCCAGTTGTCAATGTGAGTGGGCTCACGGGGGCCCAGAGGTGGTGAGCTGTACTGGGGCCCAGAGCAACACTTTGGCCCCTGGCAGCACCATGCTGCAGCCCCCAGGCAGGACAGGGACCTGTGGGTGGCACAGGACAGGCACACAGGCAGCAGGGCCAGAGCTGGGGGCTGCTGCCATCATGGATGGGCGATGGACAGTGGGAGCCCTGAGAGGTCTGCTATGGCAGAAGCATTGACCAACGAGAGCCCTGGCAGATCTGCTATGGCAGAACCAGCGATCAATGGGAGTCTGTGTACATCTGCTATGGCAGAACCAGAGGGTAACGGGAACCCTAAGAAATCTGTTGAGGGAAGGGCAGCGGCCATTCTGAGCCCTTGGAGATCTGCTATGGCAGAGCCAGTGGCCAACACTGGCTACAGTCTTTGTAGATCTGTTACAGCAGAACCAGTGGGTAACGGGAGCCCCGGGAGATGCAGCGGCCGTTCAGAGCCCTGAGCGATTTGCTGCGGCAGCCCGACTGATGCCGTGCCGTGCCGTGCAGGGCTGCACCGTGCCGTGCCGTGCAGTGCTGTGCAGTGCCGTGCAGTGCAGTGCCGTGCAGTGCCATGCCGTGCCATGCCGTGCAGTGCCGTGCCGTGCCTTGCAGTGCCGTGCCGTGCCGTGCCGTGCAGTGCCGTGCAGTGCCGTGCCGTGCCGTGCAGTGCCGTGCAGTGCCGTGCCGTGCCTTGCAGTGCAGTGCAGTGCCTTGCAGTGCCATGCCATGCCATGTCGTGCCGTGCCGCACCACGCTGCGCCGTGCCGTGCCAACAGGGAGCGCAGATCCCCTGTCACCTGCGGTGCCCGCCCAGCCCCACGTGGGCACGCCCCGAGGCGGCGGGGTGCGGCGGAGGCGGGCTGTGCCAAGCCGTGACCGTGCGTGCCGTGCCGAGCCGTGCCGTGCTGCGGGTGCCGAGCCGAGCCGTGGGTGCAGCGGCCACCTGCCGAGGGCCCCGTGCCGCAGCATGGCCGTGCGGTTCCAGGTGCGCTGCTCGCCCGGGTGGGAATGGGAGATCCTGGGAAGGCTGCGGGGGGGTCACCGAGGTGGGCTCGGGGCCGGGGGGCAGAGGCGGCCCTGTCCTGCGCGGTTGCTGGCTGCGGGGAGCAGGCGGGAGCCGGGCGGCGGTGGCACCGCACGGAGCTGCCGGCTGTCCGTTCCCTGCCGCGCTGCACGACGGCGTTACAATCTCACCGCGATTTCCTTGGCTGTGGTTGATCCATCACGGCGTCGCCCGGCCCTCCCGGTTTGCTTTTCCGTGCCCAGATGACCCTTGAGATAGAGGCTGTAAAACAGCTGCGGGAGCCACCGCCCCACGGCAGCTTCCGCGGTCTCTCCGGCTTTGTTTGCAGGATTTTCCCCTCCTGGTGCACAGATTCTGTGCCTCTCCAGGGTGCTGGGAGCTGCTGGAGGGGATCCCGATCCCACACCCTGTGCAGGGCTGTGCTTCAGCCTGCACGTGCATCCCAGTGAGGTTTCTGTCCTAAGTGGAAACTGTTGGCTTTGGGGAAAACCAAAGGGCGAAGCCAGGTGCAGTGGTCAGCAGAGCCACCAGCTCTGTGGTCACACCAGGGCCTGAGCTGAGCAGCTGGGAGGGCATGGGTGCACCGTCAGAGGCAGCACTGGGGGCTGCTGGCTGCTGGGGCAGGGAGGGCAGTGGGGACACGGCGATGGCAGCTGGCAGGTGCCCCATCCGCAGCACCCTCGTATCCCCAGTGCCTGCGGCTCGGCTGATGCTGAAAGCCCTTGCTTCGGCTCTGCCTTACAGCCCAAAGCAGGACAGAGGAAGGGGCTGGTGGCTGCACAAAAGAGCCGGAGCCGATCTGTGCCCCCGGCCCCTGGGCTGCAGCCGAGGCATCGCTCAGCCTCAGCACTCACCCTCCCTCACTTGCGTTGGCAGGTGGCTGCCATGGAGGAGATGCTGATCTGGGAGCAGCACACGGTGACGCTGAGCAAGGTGAGCGTGGCTGAGGTGGCCGTGGGATGGCGGTGTTGGGGACAGGCTGTGAGCTCCTCTCTGCCCCTCCCTTCTAGGACCCTCATCGGGGCTTCGGTTTTGCCGTTTCGGGTGGCCGGGACCATCCCAACAAGGTGACTGGGGACACGGCGGTCTTTGTCTCAGATGTGGTGTCCAGGGGACCGGCGTTTGGCCAGCTTCAGTGAGTTCACGGGGATGTGGGGGTGCAGTGGGGCTCATCGCTGCCGGCAGGGACCGGAAGGGCAGCAAGTTGCTGCTACAACCCCATGCAGAGCCACGGCTGCCTTTCCCTCACAGGAGGAGGGATCAAATTGTGATGGTGAACGGCCTTTCCATGGAGAATGTCTCATCCTCCTTCGCCATCCAGACAATTAAGTCCTGCGGCAAGATCGCCAACATTGTGAGTGTGCCCTGCAGTGGGACGGCTCTGTGCTTGTCCCTGTCCTGTCCGTGTGTCCCTGTGTCCCTCTGTCTGTTTGCAGGGTGCACGGTGGCTCTGGGCAAAGCTCCTGTTGCGGCACATTTCTCCGCCACCTCAGAGTACCCATGGTTTGTATTCTGGGCTGGGAAATCGCCTCATCTGCATCCCTTCTTTCTTTCTTTCCACTTGCAGACACTGAAAAGACAAAAGAAAATCCACCTCCCCGCGAGCAAGAGCAGCCCCGCATCCCCTGCTGTGACCCGGCGCTACGACTCAGACGAGGACTACGACCCTCGTGGGGATCCGGCCCTGCGCAGCGCCAGCCAGCACCGCTCCCGAGATGACCTGGACCACAACCAGGGCTACGATGGAGACTCGTCCAGCGAGAGGAGCTCTGGTCATCACCAGGACGACCGCCGCCACTGCAAGTCGTCCCGCAGCCGGAGGCGAAGCCAGGACAGCAGCCACTGGAGGCAGAGCCCTGACAGCGGCTCGGAGCACAGGGGTTACGGCCGGCACCGCTCCGCCAACGGCTTCGGCCCTGAAGGGGACACCAACGGGCTGGCGCTGGTGTCGGGGTTCAAACGGCTGCCGCGCCGGGATGTGCCGACGAAACCCATCACATCAGTGCTGGTGAAGAAGAAGGAGGATGAAGGTAGGGCCTGCCCGCTCCCTGCGTGCCTGGGTTTTGTCTGGTCGGTGGCTGCGTGTCCCCGGAGTGAGGCTCTGGCATGCAGCACTGGGGCAGCGTGTGCTGTGCTGCAGGCACTGAGCCTGCTGGCCTCAACGCAGGGTGTCACAGCTCGGCTCTGGGGCTTGCTGATGGCCTGATGGGAGCTGGAGTGTGCTTGTGGGGTGGTGGCGAGGGGGAACTTTGAGGGGGTCCCGCTTCTGCCCAGCCCCAGCACTGCCGCAGGTTCTCTGATGCAGAGTACGGCCTGAAGCTGGGCAGCCAGCTCTTCATCAAACACATAGTGGAGAGCGGGCTGGCAGCGAGGCGCAGCTCCTTGCAGGAGGGAGACCTCATCCTGAAGGTATGGAGCAACAAGGGTTGCACAGCACTTGGGGGGACTCAGTATCTCTCTTTTGGTTGGCTTGTCGCTGGCTTGTGTCACTGCAGGGGACAAGCTGAGGGTGTGTTAGGTTGGCTGTGGGGGACTGCAGCTGGACTGGAGGCAGCTCTGCCTGGGGCACATATCCTGCCTTGCTCCCTGGCCACCCCTTGGCACTGCACACAGGCTCTTGGGCTCTTGGGGACCAGCTCCACTTGGTGCCAGGGGCAGCAGCTTGTCACCTCCACCCTCCTATCCCCGTGGCACCAGTCGGGTGCTGTGGGTGGGTGTCCCTGCTGGGGGAGCAGCCGACGAGCAGTTTGGTACATGATGAGGTGTTTGGGGCACGACAGGTGAAACGATGCTCGAGGTGTCTGGGGAGGATAAAACGGAAGAATGGAGGCTGGTTTGCAGGCACGGGGAAGGGACCTGGGAATGCTGCGGTGGGAGCAGCTCTGTGTGATCAGGGTTTTCCTGGGGTGCCTTTCCCAGGAGCGAGCACCCTGAGGCCTTCCTGCTCTGCCCCTCCAGATCAACGGGGTGGCCAGCAAGGACATGTCCCTGGCTGACACCCAGCGGCTCATTGAGCAGACGGAGGGGATCCTGACCCTGCTCGTCCTCCGGGACCACCGGCAGTTCCTGATCAACATCCCCAGCATGGAAGACTACCAGAGCGACAGCTCCCGGATGGACGGTGAGGGGGCAGAGTGGCAGTACTGGGCTCCCACTGCGCAGCGTGGGGACTGGACGGGCACTGATGCCTCTCGCTTTCTGTCACTGCAGATATCTCCGACATCGACTCTGACCTGTCCCACCCACCATCCCCCAAGACCTCCCCACAACTTCCAGCTGCTGCCAGGATGAATTCACCAGGGTAAGCCATGCTATGTCCCCATCCCCGTGTCCCTGTGAGCCCTCCTTCTTTCCCCCATGCTCTCTGCCTGTCTGGAGGGCCTGGTTCTCCTCTATGCTGGAGCCAGCTCACTGGAGGTGGCTCTGCATTTTGGCCCCCATCTTGCCCATGCTGATCAAACCCTCATCTCCTCGCCCTCCTTAAATCCTGCCCTGACTCTGTTCCAGAGAGAGGAGACGATCAAGCAGGAGTGCTGCAACCAACACAAACATGGACGATGCCCTGGGCCGTGGTGAGTGACTCAGATCGGCCTGGGGGGAGCTGAGGGCTCTGAGCAGGCTCCAGGCTCCTCCGTATCCCCACTCCCATCCCACCAGCTCTCCCTGTGTCTCTGTGGTCTGGGGAAGCACACAGACACCAGCACTTCCTGAACCAGCTCTCCTTCCCTGCAGACATGCTGGAAGCTGTGGAACAGGATGGCCACCACAGCCCCCGCAGCAGACCCAGTGCCCAAGCTGCCCCCAGGGACGGGTAAGTCTCTGCAAGAGGTGGTGGGAAGGGCTGAGCAGACAGGGATCTGCCCCAAGGCAGCTCCAGGGCTGGGGGTTCAGCACTGGTGACCACCAGCACGTCGCCACCATGCTGACTGCAGCCTCCACTGGGCAGGTACGGTCCTGACTCCAGAGTTGTGCAGTTTGTGAAGGCCAGGAGCGTGGGGCTGCAGCTGGCTGGTGGGAACAACGTGGGCATCTTCGTGTCGAGTGTGCAGGAGGGGAGCCCAGCCGACAGCCAGGACATCGAGGAAGGGGACCAGATCCTGCAGGTAGCTGGGAGCAGGAGTGGCACCGAATGCTTTAGTGCCTGGTTTGTCCCTGTCCCTTCTGTGCCCAATACCCCTCATGCTGTTTGGATTTCTCCCACTGGGCATCATTTTGAGGCAGTGTTGGTAGGGGATGGTCCTGTCCCCAGCACTGTGCTAACACCCAGCAGGGTCCAGGCACCAGAGGAGCCGTCCCCAGGATCACCCAGGGGTTGTGGCAGGCACTTGGGTAGCAGGGGCCAGTTCCCCCTCCTACCCCCAGGGCCCCCTGCCCTGAGTTCACCTTGGAAGCCGTGCCCTCCATCCCACTGGTGGGACACATCGGAGTGCTTTCCCACGCAGGTGAACAGCACCAGTTTCCAGAACCTGACCCGTGAGGAGGCAGTGCAGTGCCTCATGAAGATCCCGCCGGGGGAGGACGTCACTTTGTGGATCCAGAGCAAGCAGGACAGTGAGTGATGGCTGGTGACTTCCTGGGCTCATGTGTCTCCATCTCTTCTGAGTGAGCATCGGACTGCTCAGCTCCCCACAACTCTTTCTGCCCCACAATGCGGTCCTTCTTCCCCACGCCATCCTCCTCTCCCCCTGAGAGGTGATGGGAGAGCACTGGATGACCCTGGAGAACCATCTGTGCAGTGGCATCCTGGAGCAGGGGGGTTTCTGGCTCCGTGGATCAGCTTGAAATGGCCACTGTGTGCTGTGGGGCCGAGTCCCGCTGTCCCCACTGTGCCCAAGAGCACCACGCGTAGACAAGGTGTCCCCAGAGCCTCCTTGGCACTGAGGGCTGCTGTGGTAGATCGCACCCAGCCCAGCACATTCCTCCACTCCCAATTCCTCCTCTACCCGCTCTTCCCTCGTGCTCACTCTCACCCCGGGCTCCAGTTTACAGGAAGATGATCTCCTCCAACGTGCGCGACTCCTTCTACATCCGGACGCATTTTGACTATGAGAAGGACACGCCGTCGGGGCTCAGCTTTGCCCGTGGGGACGTCTTCCATGTGCTGGACACCATGTACCGCGGCAGGCTGGGGCACTGGCTGGCTGTGCGCATGGGCAGGGACCTGCAGGAGCAGGAAAAGGGCATCATCCCCAACCAGAGCAGGTAGGGAAAGAGCCAGGAATGGCCCCGCTGGGGGCAGAAGCAGGGGATGGCTTCCTAGTGATACAGGGATGTGGGTGCTGGGCCCAGTAAGAGCTGGGCCAGGGCTGAAGGGTGGTGGTGGGAAGTGTGAGCTGGTGAAACGCCTTCCTGGTGCCTGGGGTGGGGTTGTTGATGCTGTGGTTGACGGAGGTCCCGGAGGGGCTTTCCAGCCTGAATCGGCCATGTCACCAAGTGGGGACCTTGACTCCTGCCTGACTCCTTGGATGGAAGGAGTAAATCCAGAGGCTGCAGATCCTGAGCCCTTTCCCTTCCCAGGGCCGAGCAGTTTGCCAGCCTGGAGTCCGTGCTGAAAGCCACACCTGGCACCAACCCGCTGGGGGCACGGGCTGAGTTTTGGAAGCTGCGGGGCCTGCGGGGAGCCAAGAAGATGTTGCGGAAGAGCCGTGAGGACCTGTCTGCTCTCACAAAGCAGGGCCACTACCCCCCATATGAGAGGGTGGTTCTGAAGGAAGGTGGGTTGCCTGACCCACCCAGGGTCCTCAGCCCTAGGGCTGCCCAGCCCAGCCCCCCTGAGCTGCTCTGTCTTCTCCCCACAGCCAGTTTCAAGCGGCCGGTGGTGATCCTGGGCCCCATCACAGACATTGCCATGCAGAAACTGAGCATGGAACAGCCCGAGCTCTTTGAGATTGCACGTAAGTCCCCTCCACAGTGGGGGTGAATTTTGCTTAGCAGCTGAACGTTGGTGTAGGTGGCTTTGGGAGCTTTTTACTCTGTCCTGATCCTTCCTTGTGACCACTCCATGACACCCCAGCACCCTCTTGGACTCAGGCACCCCCTCCCCACGCACCGTGAGGCAAGCCAGGTCCCAGACAGCCCCCATGGAGGCACACGGCCCTGGGGCCTGACAAGGCCAGACCCACAGGGATGGCACAACTGCCCCAGCCCCTCTCAAACCCTGTTGTCTTGTCCTGCAGCGAGTGTGCCACGAGATGGGGCGTCGTCTAAGGTCATCAAGCTGGATTCGGTGCGGCAGATTGCTGAAAAGGTGAGAGCTTGCAAGACTTTCCCCGTGTGCTGGCAGCCAGGTGGGTGACCCTGTCCCCAGCAGGGCTGAGCGCTGGTGCCCTGCCCCAGGACAAGCACGCACTGCTGGACATCACGCCCTCGGCGGTGGAGCGCCTCAACTACGTGCAGTATTACCCTGTGGTGGTGTTCTGCGAGCCCGAGAGCCGGCAGGGCATCAAGGCCATGCGCCAGTGGCTGGCACCTGACTCCAGGAAGAGCTCCCGGCGCCTCTACGCCCAGGCCAGCAAGATGAAGAAATACTGCAGCCACCTCTTCACGGCTACCATCACCCTCAGCGGCAGCGGCAACTCCTGGTATGAGGAGATCAAGAGCATCATCAGGAAGCAGCAGAGCCAGCCCATCTGGACGGCAGCAGAGCACGTATGGGGCGGAAAGGCTGAGCCCTGCAGGGGCCGCACAGGGCTGCGTCCGCTCTCTTGGTGCCCAGAGACCCGGGGTCTTCATTGTCCCCATCCGCAGGTGGACGCGGCGCTGGAGGACAGCCTGGAGCTGCTGAACCCTCCCAGCAGGGCGGCTTCGGGCTACCTGACCTGCGACAGCCACGCCAACAGCGACTACGATGACACGGATGGTGAGGGGGGCGCCTACACCGACGGCGAGGCGGAGGATGCCTACGGCCATCCTGCACTGTCCCGCTCCTCTGAGCCGGCGCAGACGTACCCCAGTCACGATGTGAGTGAGCAGCTGGGTCCCCCGCAGCTGTATGAGGGGCACAGGGGGCGATTCCTATCCCCTGTGGCCCTGGCAGAAGGGCTGTCACCTCTGATGTCTGCAGGTCCGGTGTTGGTGCCTTGCCCACCTTGCCCTAGGGGAACGCAGCCCAGTCTCCAGCTGGGGCACAATTCTTGCCTGCCCCCTCTCACATCTACCTGTTTGTTCACAGGTGACCGAGCATCAGGGACAGTGGGCGCAGGAACACCTCAGGTACGCTGCGTGCCGGGGCCAGCTCTGCGCAGCCTCACCCTGCGTGGCAGCGACTGCCTCCATCGATCAGTCCCAGATGTCACTGCAGCATTTCCTCCTGCAGGGATTATGAGCACGAGGCCATGAGGAAGAGATTCACACAAGCCAGGGATGACTCAGATGAGGACGAAGGCTACGAGTGGGGTCCAGCTACAGATGTGTAGTGAGATCGATGTCTGTGCACGACCCCCGAGCATCACTGTGTGTCTCTGCCCCACAGGGCCCCTCAGTCCTACCGCAGCTCCGTGCCACCAGGGCTGGGTGACAGCCCTGCAGTGCCACGCAACACCCCCAGCTGGGCGGGCTGTGCCTGCGCCACCAAGTGCCTCCTTCCCCTGCTTCATCCACTGCCTCAGGATGAAATAAAGGGGACGTTTTGAGTAGGATGGGCTGCTGCTGTGTGTGTTGTGTGACAGCATGCAGGGCAGAGGTGCAGCAGGGCAGCCTTGCTGGGATCCACACCCTTCCATGGCCAGGGCCCTCAGCCTTCTGCTTGTAAGCACCAGCGCAGGACCCTCCTGAGGGCAGCAGCCTCGGGCTGATGTCTGGCACTGCAGTGGGCTCAGGGCTGCATCCCTTGAGCTGAGCTTCCTCAGCTGCAGCCCAGCAGGGTGAGATGCAGCCTTCAGCATTGCCCCAAACTTTTATTTTTTACATCAACCAACCACACAGGCAAAGTTGTGACAGGCCACCTTGGGCAAAGGGTCCCAGCTGTCCCCTTGTGAACAACGCATCCCCACGAAGCCCTCAGCTGCAGGCAGGTCTGTGGGGTTCACATCCCCAAGCTCTGTGAGACGTGGCAACGCCGTGTTCCCTTTGGTTGCACAAAGGAACAGCCCTGAGGGGTACCACTGTGCACGCAGAACGGTTCAAGGCAGTGCTGAGGAAGCAGAGGTAGTTTCCCAGCTCAGTTCAACAGGGCCAACAAGGTGTTGTTTGCAGCCCAGCAGGCCCCTGGCAAAGCTGGGGAGGAGGAGCGGGTGCTGAGGGTGCTGCTGCCCTTAAGGCTGAGTCTGGGGGCTGCTGGCTCTCCCTTGGGGTGCCAGTGTACACCCACACCTCAGGGTGCAGAGGCAGAGCTGCTCAGGACTGCCTGGGATGAGCCCCTGGAGCACAGTTCCAGCCCCACCTGGGAAAAGGCACCTTTGGTGAGTGTGAAAGCACGATCCGTAGTGATGGAAAAGGGGGCGGCCTTTTGTGCAGGGTCCCCTCTCCCCTGCCAGCACCAGGCCAAGGCAAGGGACCTTAAGGAGCAGGGGGCAGCACTGCGCAGGCACTGAGGCAGAGAGGGGTGAATGGATGTGGAGAAGGGTCGCTGCAGACCCTAACGCTGCTAAAGCTGAGCATCGGCCCACAGCTTCCTATCGCACCCCGAGTCCAACTGAAAGTGAGCAGGATGAGGCCCTGCGGGGGCCAGAGGGCTCTGGTGGCAGAGCAGGGGCAGCAGGCAGAGCGGTGGCCCCCAGGGGCGTGCAGTGACAGCTGGGCCCAGGCAGCACTCAGAGGAAGACGGGCTGCTCCTGCCCCGTCAGCAGGCGGTACGTGGAGGCTGGCATGGTCTTGATGTGGACCTGCACAGAGATGCTCAGATCAGCTGGGAGATGGCAGCTCCAGGCTGGAGGCTGTCAGGGCGAGGACCCCGAGCCCGGCCTGCGCCGTCTGCAGCCATGGGAGCGCGGGGGCAGGCGCCCACCCTGCTGCTCTGCTCACCTCGCTGACCGCCTGCGTGAGGATCTGGATGATCTTCTCGTGAGGTGTGGCCACCACGCTCTGCCCGTTGATCTCGATGATGCGGTGCCCCACACGGATGCCGCCCTTCTCAGCGATGCCCCCGCGCATCAGGCTGCAGATCTGGGGAGCAAGGAATGCTGGTGAGCCGTGCTCACGTCCCACGGCCGGGTACAACCACCACCCTGAGCCCTGCTTCTCCAGCAAGGACTGCGACAAATGGCACCAAGGACACGCCAAGGGAGCCAGGAGCCACCAGCCCCAAAGCAAACAGTTGACGAGCACCAAGGAGACAAAACCAAACAACAGCACTGTGGGAGAGCAACGAGGAACCTTCCACCGTGGCACAGAGCCCTGTGAAACCTCAGAAACTATCAGTGCTGAAGGCCTGTCTGCGCAGGCACAGCCAGGGCTGCAAGTCCCTCTGCCAGGCAGGTGGAAGAAACCCCGGGCAGCCCTGGCTCTGCTCCCACCCCACAGCACTCACCACACCATTCTCCACGCAGAAGCCCAGCTGGTACTTGGAGTCGGGGCGCCGGATGACCGCTGTGGTGACGGGGGAGCAGTGCACTATGTTCAGCATCACCTCTGTCTGGTGCTTCAGTTCCTGGAAAGCGAGGGGGGGATGTGTCAGACTCCGGAGAGTCACTTGGAGGGGTTGAGAGAGGACAGAGCTGTGTTGCTCAAGGGAAGGCTGAGGATCAGCACAGGACAGGTACAGGCCCTCCTGCCCCTCTGCCCCATCATCACTGACACCCCAGACACCACCAGGCTGTTTCCCATCTCTAGCAGAGCAGGGAGCCCCCCAGGCCCGGCCCCAGCTCACCCGGATGATGCTCTGGCAGGTGGTGAGGGGCAGCCCCACCAGGCTCGTCCCATTGATGGACATGAGGCGGTCCCCGATGCTCAGCTCACCCGACCTCTCTGCAGGGCCCCCGTGCATCAGGTTGGCGATGACAACAGTGGGCAGGATGGAGCCCCAGCCCGACTCCACGATGGCGATGCCCAGAATCTCCCCCTTCTGCTTCCGGATGCAAACCTGAGGAGGGGGGGGGACCGGGACGGGGAGCTGGGGTGTGTGCCACATCCCCTGCACAGGGGTACTGGGCTTAGAGCGAGCTGGGATAGGGCCTAGGTTGGTAGGGAGCATCTCAGCCTCTCAGTGGGGACCCCATGCTGTCCCCACCCCTCCAAAGCAGCTCTTACATCCTTGCAGTTCTCCTGCCGGGAGAAGTGGGTCAGCTCTGCATTGTGCTGCTCCTGGTCCTCAAGGGCACGGCTGTACTGGCGAGGGCTGAGCTCACTTGGGTCAATGCTGTTGGCCTCCAGGAAGCGCTGGTAGGCCACACCAAATGCCTGCCCGATGGCCTGAGCGATGATCTGGGCCTGGGGATGGACGGGGGACATTTGTGCTCAGGGCCACAGCCTGACCACCAAACTGGTCCCAGCAGCTCAGTCCCAGGTCAAACAGGTCCCAGTCCAGCACAGACGGCCTGGGAGCTGCAGGGCACCCTGCCCCTTCCTGCCCCTTCCCAGTACCGCACCCCTCCTTTTCTCACTGGGCCACTCTACACAGCAGAGCTGCCCGGGCTCCCACTCTTTGTGCCCCAGCACAGCGATGCCAAGCTGTCCTGCAGCAGGATGGGTCCAGGAGCCCCCAGCAGCCCGCCCTCCCTCAGGGCTCGCTCCCACTCACATCAGCAGAGTGGAAGACGTGGCAGATCATCTTGTAGAGCCGCTTCTCCTCCGCCGCCTCTGCCCTCCGAGGCAGCTTGCGGCGTGCCATGAGCACCACCAGGGAGCCGATGTCAGCAATGTAGGAGATGGTCTGCAGGGAGTGATCCATCATGGCCTCCTGGCAAGGGAACACAGCACAGACCTTCAGCCCTCCCCTCCATGCAGCACACGAGCCAGCCGGGCGCTGCTGCACACCAGGAGGATGCAGGCTCACTGGTTCAGATCCCACTCTGCCAGAGTGGCATCGCTCTGAGTGACAGCTCCTCCCAGCTGCTGCCCCTGGCCATCCCTGGGCACGACCCCCCATCACGGCAGGCAGAGAAGATCCCACAGCCGACAGGAAGGTCCCAGCAGCCCCAAGGCCACGCAGACACAATCCCTGCTCACCTGTGTGTCAGCTGTCAGCACCTTGATCCTCTGTGTGGAGACAAACAGATCCACCTCTGTCATGGGTTGGGATTCTCCCTCTGGTGCCTGCAGAGCAATGCAGCTCAATGAAGTCGCTGCTGGGTCCCTGCCCTGCAACAAAATGCTGCCCAGCACCCGCAGGAGGTCAGGACGTGCCCCTCCCTGCACCTTGATTCTGTCCACAGCCTCCTGTGCCTGTGCCATGCGGACGCTGGTAGGAGGGTTCCTCTCTGAAACCAGCTGTGTGGAGCCCAGGTACTTTGCCCCAAAAATCACACCGTCCAGCAGATCCTCTGGGTCACAGGGGCCTGGAACTGAGAGACTGGGAGGGCTAAAGCAGGGGCTGGTTTCCTCCTGCCACCTGTTAGCTGTGCTCTGTATGTGAGGAAGTGGCTCAGCGCTCGAGAGATGTGCTCCTGGCATAACAGGGGAACCAATGCTGACCCTTGGGCTGCAACCCCTTCCCCTGGAGAGCCCCCTTGGGCTGCCTCCCCTTCCTCTACAGAACCCTCCTTTTTCTCTTTCCAAACCTGGGCACCCCACAGGATTCCTGAAGCTTCTTCATGCCCAGCTGTGCGCAAACTGTGAGCAAACAGCCACCCCAAGTCTGCAGCCACGTTTCCCAATAAGTGGCAGCAATGCCTCTGCCCTGGGAGACTCTTCTGGGTGCAGAGCTGGACTCCCCCAGGCACCCCAATGCTCAGGTCAGAGCAGGCAGCGGTGGGTTAAGACTCCCAGTTCAAGCAGAGAAACAACTCACCTTCTTTGAAGGCCAGGCAGGAGGAGGGGGATTCCTTGTTCTGCAAAGCAACAAAAGAGTGAAGCGCTGGCTGGGAGCCTGGGGAGCACCAGAGGAGCAAGGGCACAGGGTGCCAGGGCTGTGGGGCTGTTTAGACCCACTGGCTTCCCCCAGCAATCAGACAGGCACAACCCGCCCCTCACAGTCAGGACAGCACGGCCCAGAGCAAGTAAGGGTGCTCTCCCCTAGTGCCACAATGTCCCACAAGACCCAGGGAAACGCCGCCCCTCACTCCCCCCTGCCCAAAAAATCCCCCAAGGAAGGAGAGCGAAGGGGACCACGGCCGTGCGCCTGCACTCACGGTCACACTGCTTTGTGGCGGCCGCTTCTTCTCTGGGGTCACAGCAGGAGACAATTCTGCCCAGGCTGGCTCTGGCGAGCTGTCTCGACTGCCCTCGCAGGTGGGTTTGTCCTCACTGAGCCCATCTCCACAAATCCAGCCTCCAGAAGGTCTTTCCTCCAAACCACCTGGCCCATCAGCAGCAGTGTGTTCCTCATGCGTCTGCAGCATCTCCAGCTTGGTCCCGGTCAGGACTTCAGAGCGGGTGAGGGGTGTCTCAGTGTCGGCCTCAGACAACCCCCCCTCGTAGCACAGGAGGTTCAGCAGGTCCTCCCGGTCGGCCTCAGCAAAGAGCAAGCCGTGGCAGGGCCGCGAGCGGGCCGAGTGCTGCGCACAGCAGGGATGCACAGCCAGGCCCCTGCCTGTGGCCACGTGCAGCGGGCAGGGCTGGCACTCACCCCGGCACTCTGCATAGCCCTGCTTGCCTGCCACAGGGGCCGTGTCGGGGGCGTCGCACAGACTGGGGCTGAGGGTCTGCAGCTGGGCCAGCAGACCCTGCATCTCCGAGGGCTCCTCCTCAGGTGCCTCGTCCAGCTCCATGGTGCCACTGCTGGGGGTGCGGGGGGGTCCCGTATCCTGGGAGGTGCTCCCAGCTCTCGGCCTCCAGTCCGTGGGGCCCCGTGGTCCAGTGGTCACCACCCCCTCTTCCATCTCTCTTCCTGAGTTCCTGCAAAGCCCGCTTTGTTCATCCCCACCGTTAAGGTTCATGGCTGAAGCAGGCCCCGATCCAGGCTCCGGACTTCTCTGCTGATCCACAGCGGTGCTGCTGAAGGTGGGCCCCTCCAGCTGCCCCTCGGCTACAGTGGGTCGGGAGGCACCGCGCTGCCCTTCTTCTGTGTCCATGGCTGGCAGATCGGGCGCCGGCTGGAAATCCATGGCGCTCTCCATAGGGAACAGGCAGGTCGGGGGGAGACGGGGAGGGAGCACGGGGGAGGGCAGGCATAGGGGAGGGAAAGGGGGGGGAACGAGAGGCCAGAAAGCGGGCGGTTGGGGGTCAAGGTGGGAGCAGAGAGGGGTCAGGAAGAGGCACAGGGGGGGCGCACAAGCCGTGCTCGCGGGGCGGGCCGCAAAGGGTCACGAAGGGGCCGCAGGGCAGCTTGGGGGGGGCCTGAGGAAGGGCCACGGAGGAACACACGGGGTTCCAGAGCCGGGGTTCCCGTCGTCCCTCCGGCCTCCAGCCGCCACTCGCTGCCTGGAGGCGCCGCGGTCCGGCCGGGCCCGAGCGGAACGGAACGGAACGGGTCAGGACGGGACTTACGGAGCGGGCCGACCCCGCGGCGACTTCCGGGCGCCACCACCCCCCCACTTCCGGGCGCTGCCGCGTCCACTTCCGGGCCCGCCCAGCAGCCACTTCCGGGCGCGGCCGCCGTGCATGCGCGCTTCGCAGTTGTCCTGGCGTGTCCCACGGCCGCCATGGCCGCCCGGCTGCTGCTGAGGGCGGTGAGCGCCGTGCGGCCCGGCCCGGCCCGCGGCTACGCCAAGAAACCGGGTGAGGCCGGGATGGGTCTGGAGCCCGGGCCCCGATCCCAGTCCCGTTCCTGTGTCCCGACTGGGCCCTGCCCCGTGTCCCGTTCCCATCTCCCAGCCGGGTCCCGTTACAGAGCCCCATCCCCGCGTCTCGTTCCTGGGTCCTGTTCCCGGATCCCGATCCCGTGTTGTAGTTGGGTCCTTTTCCCACTGCCTGTGCCCACATCCCATCCCGTGCCCCATTCCCGTGTCCCAGTTGGGTCCCATTCCCATGTCATGTACCCATATTCTATTCCCACATCCCATTCTGTGCCCCAGTTGGGTCCTTTTCCCCCACCCCATTCCAGTGTCCCATTCCCACCTCCTATTTCTGTCCCAGAGCTCCCGGCCCCATGCCCCCAGCTGCCCACACCCCCTCACATCACCGTGTCCCCTCTCCCAGGTGTGAAGGTGAAGGGGAAGAGCACTCCAAAGGAGCAGCTGAAGGGGCCGGAGGTGTGCACAGACCCCGTCAAGTTGGCCAACTACGCCGTGGGGGTCAATTACCTGAAGGACAGCCCTGAGGTGGCCCTGAAGCCCGACTCTGAGTACCCTGAGTGGTATGTGGGCCTCACCCAGATCTCTGCGTCCCGGCTGGGGGTCCCGAGGGTGGGGGAGATGCGGCCTTCAAAGCTCCCCTCCAACTGTAGCAGCCCTGTGATCCCAGGAGCTGCTCTTTGCCTCCCCCACCGCAGCCTCGCCTGCTCTGTTTGCCCCCAGGCTGTTCCAGATCCACCTGGGTCCCCCCAAGAAGCTGGAGGAGATGGACCCCGAATCCCTTGAGTACTGGAGGCGCCTGCGGAAGTACAACTCGTGGCAGCGCAACAAGCTGAAGAAGAGCAGGAAGCTGTGAGGGGCTGTGATGAGGCATCAGGTGTTGGTGTTGGTGTTGGTGTTGGCGTGGCCGACTCTGGGGCAGCTCCCACTGCCAGTCCCATCTTCTCACTACAGACTGACAATAAATCTCAGCTGAGGCCTCTCACAGAAACTGTGGCGTAACCAGGAGCCCTGTGTGCTCAGTGTGCTCATCCCCTCCTGCACAGCGCTGGGGGAGAATTAAGGCTGTCATTTCTCGGGGCTTTTTCCACAGTGGGAATTCTGTTTATTGCTGGCAGCAGGACCTGTGGCAGCCCAACGGGTCCCACTCCTTCTGCCAGCGTGCTGCTGTGGTGGGGATGGGTGGGAGGGCAGCGGCTTTGGGGTGAGAGTGACTCGACTGAGGTCACCGTGTCCCCGAGGAGGGTGGGCAGGAGGGGTCCCAATCCCCTCCCCGTTGCCTTCGGCCTGGCGTAGCCCAGCGCTGGCCCTACTGCACTGTGTGGTGGATGAGGGGGGCTGCTGCCGCCCCAGGGCGGGGCTTTGCAGGTTCCCTGAGGGCCGCGTCGCTCTGCAGGGCAGGAAGTGGCAGAGGAAAGCAGAAGTGCTGCAGCGTGGGGCCGCTTTTGTTCCTAACCCCCATTTCCTCTGCGCGGGGCTCAGGGTGTGCTGAGCTGGGTGCTGGCGGCTCTGGGCACACTCAGTACCTGCAGGTGAGTTCTCTGCACCTTTTGGACTCCATGCCCTCCTCTCCCTCTTGTGCTGCCATCTCCTGCTGGCACCCTGTCCCCTCGCAGCCAGAGGCAGCAGCCGTGGGGCAGGATGGGGGACTGGAGCTTGTCCATCAGCTCGCTGGGAGAGGAGGTGGTGGCCCAGCTCTGTGAGCTCCTGGACACAGCCAGCCGGGGCTGGCGCAAGCTGGCCGAGGTGGCCGGGGCAGAGAAACGCTTCAAGTGCAGGTAGGGATGGGGGGACGGTGGGATGGACCCCGTGTCCCCCCAGCGCTCCCCCCCCACGCCCCTGTTGTGGCCACATCTGCCCTGTTGTGTCCCCGCTGTCCCTCACAGTGAGGAGGAGCTGGAGATGTGCTCGCTGAAGGTGCTGGAGCCCCTTGGCAGCCCCACACAGAGCCTCCTGCAGCTCCTGGCTGAGCGTGAGTGCAGCCTCCGGTACCTGTGGGGCTGCCTGCACAGGATGGGGCACACGCAGGCCTGCCAGCTCCTCAACAGTGCTGGTAGGGATGGTGTCACCTGGGGGCCGAGGGGGTCAGCAGGGGGAAGGCGGGGAGGTGAGGGGCTCATCCTGCTGGTGGAGTGGCAGTGGGGAGGTGAGATGGACTGTGATGGGTGCAGCAGGGTGGGTGGGGTGGGATTGGATTGGGTGAATGCAGCATGGTGGAATGGGATGAGAAGGGTGCAATTGGGTGGGTGGGATGAGATGGAATAGGTTGGAATTGGAGGGGTGGGATGGAATGAGATGGGATGAATGAAGTAGGGTGGGTGGGATAGATTTGCAAGGGAAAGGATGGGATGGATGCAGTAGGGTAGATGAGATGGGATGGGATGGAATAGGATGGGATCGAACGGATGGGAAGGGATGGGAGATGGGTGCAGTAGAATGGGTTAGAAGGGAAGAGAGTGTTGGAGTGGGATGGGAAGAGGGTCGGTGAGGTGTGGACAGGCTGGGCTGGGACAGGGCAGAGTGTGGTGGAACAAAGTGTGATGGGCTGGGATGCAATGGGATGGCCTGAAGTGGAACAGCACAGGATGGGATGGGGCCAACTGGGACAGAATGCAGTGATACAGGCTGGGATGCCATAGGGTGACACTGGATGGGACAAGTGGGATGGGATGGATGGAATGGGGCAGGCTGGGGTGTAGTGGGGCAGAGCTCTCAGCCAGCCCGGGCTCTTCTACAGTCCACGACGTGATTCGCATCACGGTGCAGCCGGAGTCACAGGTGGTGGCAGAGGGGACGCGGGTGTCCCTGACCTGCTGGGCCACCGGCCCACCGGGGCTCACCTACCAGTGGTTTTGTGGTAAGCAGGAGGTGAGGCCCACATCCCCTCCCTGGCACCTGCGCTGGTGGGAGTCAGCATCCTGAGCCCGGCTCCCCGATGCTGTAGGTGCCTGGAGCCGCAGCCCCGGAGCTGATGGTCGACACGGCTGCACCTCCAGGACTGCCCCAGTGGTACATCTGCCGTGTGAGCTGCGGGGCTGCCTTTGCCTTCTCCAGGTGGGCTCACATCCAAGTGGAGAGGAGCCACAGCCCCGAATCAGGTGGGCTCTGGGGTCTGCGTTTGGGGGGCACTGCTCACCCGTGGGGCCGGGAATGGCTCCTGTAGGGCGCTGCTCACACATGGGGTATGAGTTGCTCCTGTAGGGCATCACTGACCCCTGGGGCTGGGAACGGCTCCTGCAGGGCACTGTGGAGCTGAGGCCAGCTGGGAGCACCCCTGCCACGGCCGGGTGCCGATCTGCCGCCCTTCCCATCCACAGCCAGCGGTTACTGCCCCAGCATGGCGGGGCTGCAGATCCTGCAGCAGCCACAGCCGTGCCGCCTGGCCGAGGGGGACCCTCTGGTGCTGGAGTGCAGAGCCCTGGGGAACCCACCGCCGCAGTACCAGTGGTTCAGGAACCGGCGGCCCGTGGAGGGTGCACGAGGACCACGGCTCCAGGTGCTGTAGAGCCCTTGTCTGGCACTGCGTGGCATGGCATGGCATGGGGTGGCACGGCATGGGGTGGCATGGCATGGGGTGGCACAGCATGGGGTGGCACGGTGGTCCCAGCTCTCCATCCCCTGCAGGTGCAGCTGGTGACGACAGCTGAGCGGGGCACGTACTCCTGTCGTGTGTTCAACCTCTTCCACGAGCTGTGGAGCCAGGAGGTGGATGTGGAGATCGGTGAGGGTGACCTCTGCATCTCCTGCTCCCCACCCTACAGCACCCTGGGTGCTGCGAAGCCCCGCAGCCCCATAACTGCTCTCTCCTGACCCCACTTTGTGCTGCCCAGGCCCGCGGCTCTTTGCCTCTGGAGCCCCCTGGCAGGAAGGGGATGGAGGTAGGTGCAGGTGGTGGCACTGTCCCATCGCTGTGCTCGGGACCGTTGCCACCATCTCTCTCTTTGCAGACTCCCCGGAGCCCGGCAGCCCCGACCAGCTGTATGGTGAGATCCCATCCAGGAGGGGCAGGGGACCCTGCGGGGGCTGCAATGCAATGTGGGGCGCTGGGGACAGCGTGAGAGTCCCTCTGTGTCCCCCTCTGTCCCTGCAGCCACCGACAAAGTGGCTCTGCTGGTGGGCAACATGCACTACCTGCACCACAAAGACCTGCGGGCGCCCATGGTGGATGTGCACGCGCTCAGCGCGCTGCTGCGGCAGCTCGACTTCAAGGTGGTGTCACTGCTGGACCTGTGCCGGGATGAGATGCAGATGGCAGTCGATGAGTTCCTGCTGCTCCTCGACAAAGGGGTCTACGGTGGGGCAGCTCCTGGGGGGCTGCGGGGCTCCCAGGGGTGGGCTTTGGGGCGGCAGGGCAGAGCCGTGGGGCTTGGGGACGCGCAAGTTGGGGTGAGACATGCCACCATCCCCTCTCCCACCAGGATTGCTGTACTATGCTGGACATGGCTACGAGAACTTTGGCACCAGCTTCATGGTGCCCATTGACGCGCCCGGCTCCTACACCTCCGCCCACTGCCTGTGTGTGCAGCACGTGCTGCAGCGCATGCAGCGGCGCCGCACCGGCCTCAACATCTTCCTGCTCGACATGTGCCGCAAGAGGTGACCCCACGTCCTACCTACGGGGGCATGGAGTGAGGGGTCCCCATGCCCCCCACCTGTGGCTTTTTTGGGTGGCACCCCCACGGGGCCCCACAGCTCTCAGCAGCCCTTCTCTCGCAGGAACCTCAATGATGACGTCCTCCCGCAGGTCGGGGCGCTGGAGGTGACGGCCAACATCGTCTTCGGCTACGCCACGTGGGTCCCCTCTCGTGCACCCTCCTTGCTGTGGGGCCAGGAGGACACAACCCCCTGGGCCGGGGCAGGAATGGGGTCAGGTTCTGATATCTCAGCCCTATTGGCATTTTTCCCTGATGTGTGGGTATGCTGTGACTCCATGGCACTGCTCCGGGCTCCCAGGGATGCCGTCCTTTATGGGGTTGGAGATGCTCGTGGCTGCACCAGGCAACACCCAAGGGCTCAGAGCACCGAAGCTCACCTGGATTGCAGGGATTTGGGTTGAGGACGCCCCACCCCAGTGGGATTCCTGCAGCACAGGTGAGGCTCCCAGCACCTTAACCCACCCTCCCCATCCCCACAGATGCGCGGATGCCGAAGCCTATGAGCTGAGCCAGGGCGAACTCTCCAATGGTGTCTTTGTCACCTTCCTCAAGCGCTGGCTGCTGGAGGACGAGAAGATCACGGTGCTGCTGGACAAGGTGGCCGAGGGTGAGTGCTGCGCAGCGGGGCTTAGAGGGGCCAAAATCCCTCACTGAGCCCACGCTGTGCCCGGCCCTGCAGACATGGGCACGCTGGAGCTGACGCGGGGCCGCCAGGCGCTGGAGCTGCGCAGTAACCTGTCGGAGAGGCGGGCGCTGACCGACCCCATCCGCTCCTTGGGACGGGCTGAGACCTCTGCCAGGAACCTGCAGTGGGCCAAGGCTCACGGTGTGTGCCACTGCTGCGTCCCCCAGCGGGTGGGGGCACGGAGGGGGCAGCGCTGAGGCACGGGTCGGCGGCACGCGGCGTCTCCAATGCACCCCGGCTTCGCGTTGGGGCCACCTCAGGTGTCACCCCCATTGTCAGCCCAAGTGCTGGCAGGGACCAAAGTGGTGTCACCAAGTTGCTCGCTGTCCCTGCAGTCCTCCCAGAGAGTCGCCACCTCCGCTTTGACTGCGGTGTCACCGTGCAGCTGGGCTTTGCTGCTGAGTTCTCCAACATCATGATCATCTACACCCGCATCCTGGCCGCCCCTGGGGACATCACTGAGTGCGTGGCCAAGCTCACCGACCTCCCCGAGGTGGGGTGGCACCCCCGGAGGGGCAGCACTTGGGGTGGGGGTCTCCCACACTGCCTTCCCCTAACCTGAAATCCCCCATGGCAGGAGCTGGACGTGGACCTGAAGTACACCAACCGGGAGAGCCCCGAGGAGCTGGGCAGCCCCTTGGTGCCCACCTGGAGCCTCACCTGTCCGTCCTGCTGCCTCTACAGCCGCCTCTGTGGGCTGCAGAGATTGCGGGTAAGAGCTGTGCCACACCAGGTGCACAGGGGGGGAAGGGGGGTCATGTGAAGCCCCCCTGTGCCCACATTGCCGTGCCCTGCAGCAGGAGCTGACCTTCACCGTGTGCCTGCAGTTTCGCTACCGCGGCGTGGCCGACTTTGTGGAGGAGCGGCGGGCGGTGAGTGTGGGGCGGCCGCTCATTGCCAAGCTCAATGTGAGCCCCCGGGACCCCGGCACGCCGCCCACCTCGGGGGGGTCCGGCAGCCCCCTGTCCGCATCGCCCCCCGGCAGCTGGGGGAACAGCCCCGAGGAGAACCTGAGCCCCGAGGTGCACGGATCGCATGGGGTATAAGGGGGCACGTCTGTGTACGGGGCACTGGCACCCCATATAGAGAGCAGTGTCACCCTATGTGCAGGGCACTGCCATCCCATTGTAGGCAGGGCTGTGCCACCCCATACGCAGAGCAACGTCACCCCACATACAGGGCTGTGCCACCCCACGCACAGAGCGGTGCCTCCCCATACACAAAGCTGGGTCACCCCATATGCAGCGCAGGGCCACCCCGTACACAAAGCTGTGTCACCCTATTCACAGTACACAGCCACCCCATATTCAGGACAGTGCCAGCTCCGTGTCCCTTAGCAGGGCAATGAATCCCATATATGGGGAGGTTCCACCCCATATACAGAGCAATGCCAGTCTCATGTATCCTCACAGGGCAGCGCCACCCCATATGGACACCACGGCCCCCCATGTGCCCCGGCAGCTGTGGGGTGGGCAGGGGGCAGGGCCGGGTGCTGCAGCTCAGCAAGGCGTCGCACCGGGGTGGGATTGGGCTCATTCAGGCCTAGGAGAAATAGAGAGAAATAAGCAGATTAGGGGGCAAATCCCACTGGGGGGGGATGGGAGGGGAGGAGTAGAGAGCTCCCGCAAGGCCGTGGGGTGAAGATTTTGGGGGACGATTGAAATGTGGGGTGGAGAGGAGGAAGAACGCCTTTCTGCTCCGATGACGGGAGCCGGGGGCCCTCGCTGCTGTGCGCCAACGCCGTGGGGCGGCGGTCGGGGCCCCTCGACCCAATTAGGGTGGGCTATGGGGCAGCCCCCTCCCCACCGCCCGCCTTTTGTTGGCCGAGGGCCGCCCGGGCGTCGCGGCGGGGTCGGCGCCAACCTCTGCCATTATGTCATGCGAAAGGCGCAGCCCCCATTCAGCGCGTCCCGTCCCCCGGATCAAACCCCATTACTTCCACAGCCGTTGCTTCATTATCTCCCGCGCCGAGCACGCCTCTGCCCGTGGCCCATTAGCTGGGCTGGGGGGCCGGGGGAGCATCGATTATGCGTTTAATGGGTTGTTAAAGGTTTAATTATCGCTAACGAAGCAGATGAGCAGCAGCAGCCGGGGGACGGGGACGAGGAGCCGGGTCCCCACGGGGTCAGCGCGCGGCCCGGACGGTGTCAGCAGGAGACCCCGATGCCACCGTGGCCAACGGGTGCAGCTCTGCCCCGTGTTTGGCCCCAACCGACCCCATCTGCCCCAAAACGTTCCACGTTTGGAACCCTGAAGCCCCCACGTGTGCCATCGTCCCCTTGTTGCCCCAACGTTGCCGACCGCACGCCGTCCCCGGTGCCATCGTGGGGCATCTCAGCACCGCCGCCCTTCCGTCCGCGCTCCTATCGGGACCCCGCTGGCCCCATTGGGGCTGAGCCCCCCCGCTTCTGCCCAGCAATTACGGCAGCTTTGTGCCACTGGCACCGCTGGAGAGCAATTAGGGCCGGAGTGACGGCGGAGCAGATTCCCCCTGACAAGCAGGCGGGACGCGGGCTGGGATTCGGTCACCCATGTGTGGGGACGGCAGCGTTTCCCCGCAGATGCAGGCGGTGGGTGATGCTGAAGTGGGTTTCCCCATCGCCGAGCGGAGCACCGCGTCCCGCTCTTCTCCTTACCCACCGCACGCCCATCTCCCACTGCGCACCCAACGTGGCTGAAAAAACAACAGCCCCTGGTTGTTCCCTATGAAACTAGAGCGTTTCTGTTTGTGCATAAAAAAAGGAAAAAGAAAAAAAAACAAAAAGAAATTCTTGATGGTGGTAATAATAATAAAGGGGTGCGGGGATTTCCCCAGGTCCTGCGGGCCGCACCGGGGCGGCTGCTGGGTGCCCCCAGCCACTGTCCATGCTGCTGCATCGGGGGGGGTCACCTCCCTGCTCCGGTCCTGCCGAGCGCCCCGTCGGGGTAGGGAGCAGTGGGGAGCGTTCATCAAATGGGCTGCCAGGTCTTGTCGATGGTCTGAATGTGCTCCTTGGCTTTCATGCGGAGCGAGGCGATGCTGGAGCTCCTCTGGTCGACGTCCTCCAGCGGGTACTTGTCCACAAAGGGGGTGCCGCACTGGTAGGGCGCGGGGGCCATGGGCTGCATGCCCTGAGCCATGGCCGGGGGGGTGTTGAGGAAGGAGTGCCCTCCGTAGGGGGGCTGCAGGGCCTGGGGGGCTCCCATGAAGCCGGGGATGCTGTGCACAGGGGTGGCACTGGAGATGGGCGACGTCAGCCACGGGTCGAGAGGGAGGGAGTTGCTCATGGGCCCCACGTTGGCCGTCATGGGCGGCCGGTTGAAGGACAGCATGGGGGTGTCGTGGAGCTTCATGGAGCTGGCCTCCATCTTCTCCTGCCGCCTCCACTTGGCTCGGCGGTTCTGGAACCAGACCTGTCGGGGTACAGTGAAAGTGACCCAGCGGTGTGTGCCCCGTGGCTACGTTGTCCCTCACAAACGTGCTCCTCAGGGGTGTCCCGTGTGCTGTGCCCCCTGTTGGGTGATCCCTGTGCAGTGTCCTATGCAAGATGTCCTACACAAGATGCCCCACGTGCTCTGTTCCACGTAGTGTGCCATTGTAGGGTGTCCCATGTGTTCTATCCCCTGTTGGTTGACCTTCATGCCATGCCCTATGCAAGATGCCCCATGAGCTTTGTCCCTTGTAGGGCGCCCCACGTGTTGTATCCTTTGTAGGATGCCATGTCCTATGTAAGATGTCCTGCGTGCTGTGCCCCATATAAGGTGCTCCATCCGTTGTGCCCCACACGTGGTGGTGACACAGTGACAGTGGGCTGGTGGCTGGACTGGCTGATCTTAGTGGTCTGTCCAACCTTAATGATTCTGAGATTCAGCACCCCGCGTAGGGTGACCCGTGTGCCACGTCCTGTGCAAGATGCCCCATCTGCTGTGTCCCATGAAGGCCGTTCTATGTGACATGGCCCACACAGAGTGTCCCCCCCGTGCCGCGTTCTCAGCGGGGTGCCCCACACGCTGTGCCCCGTGCAGGGTGCCCCATGCAGGGCGCCCCGTTGTGCCGTATCCCACGCGGGGTGCCCCATGCAGGGTGCCCCACACGGGGTGCTCCAGGCCCCCTGCGCTGTGTCCCCTCGGGGTGTCCTGAGTATGGTGCCCCACGCGCTGTGTCCCCCGCGGCTCCAGCGATCCCTGTTCTTTTGTCACTCCTGCTCTATTTGGCTTTCTCTCCTTTTGTTGTGCTTTCAGACCCAGTGACTGGAAGGGCTGTCGCTGCCTGTGCTGGCAGCAGGGTCTGCTCCAGGCTGAGCCTCCACGCAGAGCAGGGCTTTGTGCCAAACCACCCCGTGCCCCGGCTCCAGGAAACCTAAAATCCTGAATCCATGAGAATCTCAGGGCTTTCCTGGCCCTGAGGAGCTGACAGTGGTGAGGAGCTGCTGTGGGTTGTCACCCTTCCTACGGAACCAGGGCAAGATGCAGCCCCAAGCACCTACGCTGAGCTCGTGCCTTGGGCGATGGGGAAACGAAGGCGTAGAGCCGCCCCTACCTGCACGCGGACCTCGGGCAGGTTGACCTTCATGGCCAGCTCCTCTCGGCTGTACACGTCGGGGTAGTGGGACTTCTCGAAGGCTCTCTCCAGCTCGTGCAGCTGGTAGGTGGTGAAGGTGGTGCGGTTCCGCCGGTGCTTCTTCTTGGGCTGCTCCTCCTCGGCAGCAGCTGGAGGCGTCTCCTCGCCGTCCCCCGGCTTCCGCAGCTCGCCCAGCTCCCCCTCACACTTATTGAGGAACATCTCGGCACCTGCGAGGGGTGGTGGGGGGTCAGGGGGTGTGGGGACAGCAGATCATCCCACGAATTCCATCTGGATGAGCGGACGGACAGGAGACGGGCCATCCCTGTGGCACTTCCGTGGGGACTTTATAGGGCCAGCAGCTCTGAATACCACTCAGAGCTGACCTGAGTGGGCCAGGTCCATCCCCCCTCCCCACTCCCACACTCCATCCCTTGAAACTGCCCCACATCGGTGCGGGACCCCACTCCAACCCCCATGGCACGGCCAAAGCATGCGGAATGAGCAGTGTGTGTGCAGAGCCCGGTGTGCGGTGTCCACCATGCAATGCCTGCCCTGCAGCACATGCAATGTGTGGGGCACGGTGAGCGCAGTGCACGTGCAGTGTGCAATGCACAAGGAGTGCAGTGCAGTGCACGCACAACCTGCAGGCACAGCGCTGTCTGCAGTGCTTCTGTGCTCAGGGCACGCAGTGCCTGCAGTGGCAGTGCCTGCAGTGTGCTCCATGTGTGTGCAGCTCTGGGTGACGCCTCCCAGCCCCGTGGGTTCTGGTGGGGTGTGGGTGCTGCAGCCTCGAGGTGCCGTGCCCTGTTGTCACCGTGCCGGGGCTGGGGGCACGGGGAGGGTTGGGGACCCCCTCTGCCATCCCACTCACGCTTACCCGCTTCTCATTTGCGCAGCTCCACACCTGCAAGGAGAGGGGAAAGGGGTGAGCGGTGCGGGACCCCACAGGGTGAGGGGGATGGGGACGAGCGGGGACAGGGAAGGTCGGGGCAGTGGGGTGAGGGCCAGGGCTGTGTATGAGATGGCCCCCACAGCCCCATACCCATCCAGAAGGAAAGGAGGCCCCAAGAAAACAGGAAGAAGAGAGAAACTACCCTGTGGGATGGGTGCTTGGTGCCCCGCTGCCGCCCTGCTGCCGCCCGCCTCGTCCCCAGTGCCGTCACATCGCATCCCTGCGGCACCGCGTCCCCCTGCAGCCCTACCGCCCCGCTGGGCACAGCAGGCACAGCAGGCAGCCCCTCCAGCTGCTGAGGCCATCGGTGTCCCCACACCCCGCGTGCTGCAGGGGGGCTCTGCACTCCATGTCCTGCAGGAGCTTTTCGGACAGTGGCTGCTGCTCCCTTTGGGGATCGGAGGGCAGCCGGGATGCCCAGTGGGGCGCTTTGGGGACACCCACCGTCCTCCCCCACGTCCTCACAGCACAGCACAGCACTGTGCCCACCCCAGCTCCGCTCTGTCCTCCTCCCCTGGCACTTTCTCCCAAATTCCCGTAAAACGGCGTTACCTGCTGGGCCCGACGCGGCTTTTCCAGGAGTATTTAACTTTGCCGGTCCCTCCTGGGAACCAAACAAGCGGCTCAACCTCACCAATCTTGCAGCTTGGCAGCCAAAGTTGCCTCTAGTCTTCTTATTTGTCACAGAACCGCCGCGCTAAGGCTCGGGAGAATCTTTATTTAGTGTTGCAGATGTCACCAAGGCCCCGCAGATTGGAAATGAGTCCAAAGGATTAAGACGAGGTTATTAATTGGAGGCCTTCCCCTTTAAGAATGATTGACAGTTACTTTCTGGACAAGTAATTGCTCTAAATGTCCCCCCAGCGCCGGGCGGGCCGGGGGGGCTGCGGGCGCACAAAGCCCCGCGCTGCCTTCCCCGCTCGGATTGTCTCCCCACAAAGGCGTCCTGCTGGAGTTTTCCTTGTAATCCCCTCATTATGGGAGAGGAAAAAGAATTAGAAACACGGGGCGAGGAGAAGAAAGGCGGGGGGGTGGGGGGGGGGGAGGGAGAGAAACAATTTCCTTCGGCTTTGCCAGCGCCGCGCCGCCGGGAATGGGGCTGTGCTGGGGATGCCATGGGGGCTGCGTCCCCCAGTGGAGGTGGTGGGGTGGCCTCGTGGCAGCGTGTGGGGTCCTTTGGGATGCTGGGTGTCACAGCAGGCAGTGGGACCGGCTTGGAGACCATCGACGGGATCAGCTGTGGAAGTCAAACCAGGCATGAGGAGTGGGCATGGGGACCAGCGATGGGATCAGCTGTGGATGTCACACTGAGCATGGGCAGTGGGTATGGGGTCGAGCAATGGGACAGCCTTTGGATGTCACATCAAGCGTGGGGACTAGCAAGGGGTCAGCTGTGGATGTCACACCAGGCATTGGAACCAGCCTGGGGACCATCAGTGGGATCAGCTGTGGATGCCACGTCAGGCATGGGGACCAGTGATGGGACCATCTTGGGATGTCGCACCAAGAATGGCAAATGAGCGTGGGGTCCAGCTGTAGTAGCAGCTAGGGATGTCACATCAAGCACGGAAGTCACACCAGGCATGGGAACAAGCTGTAGACGTCGCACCACGTGTGGGGAATGGGCATGGGGTGCAGCAATGGGACCAGCTATGGATGTCATCACACCAGGGATGGGGGCCAGCAGTAGGGACTGGCCAAAGGTGTCACACCTTGTGTGGGGAGAATGGGCATAGAGAGCAGTCTCGAGTGTGGGGAGCAGCTTGGGGACCATCTGTGGGATCAGCTGTGGATGTCACACCAGGCACGGGGATCAACTCAGGACCAACCATGGGTACCAGCTTTGGGAACCAGCTCTGGAGCCGTCTGTGTGTGTCACATCAGCCATGGGTACAGACAGAGAGGAACAGGTGTGGGGACTAAGAGCAGGGACAAGCATTGGGCATGGGACAGAGCATGAGGACACACCGTGGGGCCGCCCATGGGGTCTGGCCATGGGCTGTGGGATGTGGATCCACAGTGCAGGCAGCCCCACGCCTGTAGGGCTGTGGGACAGAAACATTGCCCCGCTGGGGGCCGGGAGCGTTGCGATGGTGTCTCCTCCTGTCTGGGTGCCTGTGCTGCCCACCAGGATTCCCCTTTCTGCCCCCCACTCCGTTTCACTTTCCCCCAAAACCCTCTTCCTGTCACCTGCCAACGCAGCAGCCCTTGGCCACTGTTTCGGCTTCCTCCCACCCCCAGCCTCTCCATAGCACGGTTCCCCTTTCAGATGCTGAACGTCACCGTGGGGCTTTGATCACCGCCAGGCACTGTACTAACCCACAGAAGTGCCTCTGCCTGAACACAGCGCAGACCCAGAGCCACTGCGTGTCACTGCTGGTGGTGCTGCACTGTGAGCCTTCACTGCGCTGCCGTAGGGCGGTGGGGACGTTCCCAGTCTGGGATCCCGGATCCCAACGAGATGGATCCCAATTACATGGATCCCAATGAGCACCTTGTGCCAGCGCCACCGTGATGGCAGCAAGAAGACCCCGATCCCCTGCTCCGCTGACTTCCCAACAGCACCACGGGGACACAGAGCGCAGAGCTGCCCCAGGAAGACCCCCAACCCCAGCACCTCTCGCAGACACCAAGAGCTCCAAAGTGGCTCAGAGCAAAGAGATCCCCCCCAAAAGCGCCGTGTGCCCACCAGGGACCAGGACCACCCGTGGGTTGGTTTTCGGCGCGGGCGCAGCCGCCCCAGCTGCCCGGATTTGGATTTACCCACCAGGGCCGTGTGTGCGGAGCCGGCCCCGCTAAACCGCCTTAAGGTGTTGGCTCACACGGGCGGGGGAGGCCAGCAGGCTGATTTGACAAATGATTATAATTGCCTTTTAGGAGCAGATAGCAAATTGATTTGCTTCCTCGTCCAAGGCCCGTAATCGCTTCATCACTTTAAAATATTAATGCTATACTTCTTTGCTAGTTTCCCAATTACCCTAATTGAAGGCAAATTGGTTAAGAAGGTGCAATGCAGAGTATCAGGGGGTTTAGTTCACTCAAATGACAGTTTTAAACCTCCCTAATCCTATTAGCGGGCAAAGCTGCTAACGCTTAGAGACGCTGCGTCAGCTTACCGGGGCGGTGGGGCCGGGGCGGGGGTCGGGGCCGGGGGCCGCTGGCCGCACGTGACCAGCTCTGCCGGGGATTTGTCACTTTTTTAGTTCATTAAGAGGCCCGGGGCGGGCGGGCGGGTGGCAAAGGGTGACCCCAAAAGGGTGAGGAGGCACAGGTGGCAACGTGGGGGCGGCGGGGGGGCAGGGCGATTAGCTGGGGAGACCTGGGAGAGGGTCCTGACCCGGATCCCAGCTGGTGCCGGGCGCCCCGTGGGGAGCGTGGGGAGATGGGGACCCGAGGGCCGCCGTCCCGGCACCCGGTCACGGGGGATGGCGGGGATGTGGGGTGGGACTGGGCTGCCCCACAAAGGGGCTGGGGGCCGTGCAGCCGTGTCCTGTTCGGCTCAGGTTGAATTTGTGTCCGAACAGGAGAAGTTCTGCAGGAGGGCTGCGCAGTGGGGACAGCGGGGCGCTGGGGGTGGTGGGGGCTTCAGCAGACGCTGCCACAGCAGCACACGGGGCTCAGGGACCCCCACCCCACAACCCTGCTGCTGCGGCTGGGGCAGCTGAGAGCTGCGGTGCGACTCCCAACCCAGCAGCGTTGGGTTCCGCCCCACTGCCACGGGCACACGCCCCACAGGCCCCATGCACTCCTCAGGCCCCACAAGCCCCACACATCCCACTGGCCCCACAGAACCCACAGGCCCCAAAGGCCCCAAAGGCCCCACAGAACCCACGGGTCACACAAAACCCACGAGCCCCACAGAACCTTCAGGCCCCATAAGCCCCAGAGAACCCACAGGCCTCACAGAACCCACAGAAGCCACAGGCCCTACAGGCCCTGCAGGCCCCACAGGCCCTAGAGAACCCACAGCCCCCACGGGATCCACAGAACCCACAGGCACTGTAAGCCCCACAGGCCCCACACGCCCTGTAGGCCCCACAGGCCCCACAGACCCTGCAGGCCCCATACGCCCTGTAGGCCCCATACGCCCTGTAGGCCCCACACACCCTACAGGCCCCACAGGCCCCACAGATCCCCCAGGCCCCGCAGGCCTTTCAGGAGCAGATGGCCCTGGTGCTGGGAGCCCGGGGGCGGTGAGCGCGGCCCTCCTTTCATGTGAACGCAGCGTGAGTCCGGCCCGGCTCCATCAGGCGGTGGCGTTCGGGGCCCTGGCGGTGCATTTTGCACGGGTTCAGGGAGCTTAGTCCCTGGGGACAGGCGATTCAGGCAGATTAGACCTCCCTAAAATAGGCAGGTATTATGATCTCAGCAGCCTGCAGCCTTCCGGCAGTCGCCCGCGCGGCGGCGTTTAAGCCCACGGTGCTGCTGAGCCTGCAGCGGGAGGGGGGGGGTAGAGGGGACCCCCGGGTGGGGACGCTCCCCCCCTGTGGAGCCTGCGGGGTGCAGGCGTGGGTCAGGGTGGTGAGACTGCGGGCGTGGGGCTGTGTGTGGGGTGAGGAAAAGCCTACGGTGCGACCCAGCTCTGGGGGTAGGCACTGCGTGGGATGGGGATGTGCAGGCGGAGCTGCGTGGAATGGAGGCGTCGTGCAGCAGCACGAACAGGAAGCTCATCCCACAAAATGACGCTTTTATTGATCCGAACAGCTCAGGAGATTCCAGGGGTGGCGCTGGGGGTGTGGGACTGCTGCCTGGCTGGACTTGGGGTGGCACCAGGGGACGCCGTGGCATGGGATTCAGTGGAAAGGACCCCAGCGTCTCTGCCCAGAGCCCCCAGAAATCCAGGGAATGGTTTAGGCAAGGACAGCTGACCTCCAGCACAGGCATAGGGCCCCAGCCTGGCATGTTGCACCCACAAAACCCACAGCCCACCCGCTCCTGCCCAGCACTACATCAGGGAGCACTTCTCCTTCACTTCATCCACAGTGCCCAGCGCACGGCCCCGCAGCGCCGCCAGATCCACGTCCTGCAGCTTGGTCAGGAAGGCGAAGGCGCCCTCCTCTTCCTCCTCCTCCTCCTCCTCACCACGCACCATGGCTGCCAGCTCCGGTGGCAGTTCCACCGCGCCGCCCGCCACATGCAGCTGGGCATCGTCCCGCTCATCCTGCGGGTGGGAGATGGTGCTGGGGCTGCAATGGACCCTCAGCAGCCTGGGGAGGGAGCGGGAGCAGCGGGCTCCTTTGGGACACCCGTGGATGGGGGGCGTCCCAGCAGCTGCCCAGCCCCACACTGGGGCTGCTGGAGAGACGCGTGCGCGGGTGGACGGGAAGGACGGGGACAGCAGCCGTTTGCTGCCCTCTTCAGGAATCGCTTCCCATCCTATGGGACTGGGGAGGGGGAGGATGGCTGCCACCCAGCTCGAGGGCACTGGGGCTCGGGGTCCCCCTGTGTGTCCGTACCTGGGCCAGGTGATACTTGTCCCGCAGGTGCATGCGCACAGTTGCCCGTTCTGCCTTCTTGTGTGCGAAGGTTTTGTCCCGCTCGATCCTGTGTGATGGGTGACATGTTGTCACCTCTGCCCCACCTGAGTCCCCGCATTGTCCCTCAGCCTGGCGTGGCTGCACCCATCCAAAGATCCAAATGTGCAGTGGTCCACGTAAGGCTGCAACTGGGGGTCCCAGGGCAGGGTCTGTGTCCTGCCCCCTACCCAGTGGTGACACTTGTAGTGGAAGGACTCACTCCTCCTACAGCCTTTCACCTCCCTGACACCACCCCCAAATCACCCACATCTGTGGTGGTACCTGAGTGC